TGACCATGCCCCCCAGGGAGTAATTTTTCACTTTCTGTCTCACAAGTACACACATCCTGTAGCAAAACTCTCTTAAATGAATAAAATTTTGCCAAAGAACGTGTACTTGCCACAGAGCAACAGAGAGGGAAGGGGAGAAAGCACCCTCTACCATAGTCCCTCCTCCTCCGTTTCTCCATCTGTTGGGATCTGGGGCATGCATGCACGCGCAGTCAATGTGACTATGTTCAAGCCACTGCATCTAGGTTGCAAGCCATGCAGTTGGTCATGAGAATCCAGCTCCCACGGCCAGGTACTGGCCTGAGAAAAGCATTTTAAGACCTCACTGAGGGACCAGCAGTTCGCGTAATGGCTGTTTCTGGACTCCCATGTAGTTGACCACGGTTCGAGTCCCGGGCTCGGTGGCTTAAACTCATACCGGGCATGTATGCATGCATGCCCAAGATCCTGAGGAGAAGAGAAGGGATTACAGTGTGGCCATCCCCTCTGGGGGGGTGATTTCTCACTTTCTGTGACTCTGTCTCTCTTTCTGGTGAGTGTACGCACTCTATAGCAAAACTTTCAAAAAAAAAAAAAAAACCCACCTGAATTTTTTTTTTTTTTAATTTTTAGAAATTCAAAGGGGACCAGCATTTAGCGTAATGGCTATGTCGCTGGACTCCCATGTAGTCAACCACAGTTCGTGTCCCTGACCTGGTGGCTTAATCTCACGCTGGGCGCGTGTGCGTGCTTGCTCAAGATGCCGAGAGGAGAATGGAGAAGGGATTGCAGCGTGGCCATCGCCCCTGGGGTGTGATTTCTCGCTTTCTGTCTCTCTGTCTCTGTCTGTCTGGTGAGCGTACACGCCCTATAGCAAAAACCTCTCCAAAAAAAGAAAGAAAAAAAAAAGAAATCAAAATGTTGGAAAGATCCTATTGATGAGCAAATAGGAGAATTAGGTACCTCTTATGTTCTTGGTGGGGTCATTAGTGCACAGTTCATTGAAGAAAGAATTATTAAATTTCAGTTGATGACCAGAGAGAGAGAGAAAGGGAGAGTGAGAAAGCAAGCTGCCAGGTCCTGGATATGAGCCCATTTGGCCATATGGAAATCCAGCATCCTTAACTACCACGCCACCTGCTGGTCCTCATCTTTTTTTTTTTTTAAAGTAATTCAGATTTTAAAAAAACCTTTGTTTTGCTGTAGGGAGTGTACTTGCTGGAGACATACAGCTAAGTAGAGAAAGACAGAGGGAGAAATAGTTAAAAAGCAGCTCCTGGGGAGATGGCTATGCTGCAGTCCCTTCTCTATTGTCGTCTCTGGACTTTGGGGATGCACATACACTTGCTGGTGTGTTTCTCAAGCAACTGGATCTGGGTCTCAAACCACAGAGTCTGCCATATAGGATCCAACCACCTTAACCTTCACACCATCTGCTGGCCATAGGTGTATCTTTATTTGCCTTAGGCACATGCACTTGCCAGAGAGAGACAGACAGACAGGTGACAGACAGTGAGAGGGAAAGTGAGAAGTCAAACCCCAGGGGAGGATGGTCATATAGCAATCCCTTCTCCTCTCTCCTTCTAGGATATTGGACGTGCATGCACTTGTGCCCGGTGTGATAGTCAAGCCACCGGGTCCAGGACTTGAACCAGAGTCAGACATGTGGGAGTTCACCTGTGTAATTGCTATGCCATCTGCTAGTCCCATGTAGCTGTATCTTTTATTTACTTATTTTTTGAGAGGTTTTCGCTATAGGGCATGTGCACTCACCAGAAAAAAACAGAGACAGACAGAGAGACAGAAAGCAAGACATCCCCCGCCCCGGGTGTGTGGCCACAGTGCAATCTCCTCTCCTCCATTCTCCTCTTGGGATCTTGGGCATGCACACACACACACCCAGTATGAGTTTAAGCCACCAGGTTCAGGACTCAAACTGCGGTCATGTGGGAGTCTAGTGACATAACCATTATGCCAACTGCTGGTTCCTTAGCTGTATCTTTTAAAACATAAACATATACTTTTGATCCAGTAATATCTCTTAAAGGAAATCACACCATAGATATATGTATATACAACTATATATGTTTTAACTTATTTGTGGAAGACTTGGAGATTGGAAGGAAACACAAAAATCAGCTAGTTATTAAGTTGGTGCAAAAGGAATTGCAGTTTTGGATCATGAATTTACATCTTTACTAATCAAATGGGGGGGGCTGGCAGGTGGCATGGTGGTTAAAGACACTTGACTCCAATATGGCCGACCATGGTTCAAGCCCAGACCTGGTGTTTGCTTTCTTACTTTCTCTCCCTCTCTCTCTGTGTCTCTTGCTCTGGTCAAAATAAAAAATATATATAATAAAATAATAATGATGAATAAAACAAAGGAAATAATTCTTTAAAAAAATAGGAACCATTACAATTAATTTTAATTTTGTCAATGAGAGATGCTGGGTTGTCAGAAGTAGTGCATTTTTGCATAGCAAAACACATCATAACTTTTCCGACTACTCAATAAGTTTATCCTATAGCATAAAAATCTGTGCTTTGGGATTTGATGAACTCTTGAAAAGCATCTTTTGCATTCTGCTGGTTGTGGAAGTGTTTTCTCTGCAAAAAGTTGTTGAGATGTTTATAGAAGTGAAACTTGGTTGGAGAGAGATCAGGTGAATATGGCTGATGAGGTAAAACTCTATAGCTCAGTTCCTTCCAACTTGGGAAGTGTGGGTTATGTGACCTGTGGTTGGGCATTGTCGTGGAGAAGATTTGGGCCCTTTTTGTTGGCCAGTGCCGCTGCAGGCGTTGCAGTTTTCAGTGCGTTTCATCCATTTGCTGAGCGTACTTTCAGACGTAGTTTCACCAGAATTCAGAAAGCTGTAGTGGGTCAGACCCCACCAAACAGTGACCATGACCTTTTTTTGGTGCATGTTTGGCTTTGGGAAGTGCCTTGGAGCTTCTTCTCTGTCCAGCCACTAAGCAGGTCATCGCCTGTAATCATGTAAAATCCACTTTTCATTCCACATCACAGCGTGATCCAGAGATGGTTCATCATTGTTGCAGAGAATAAGAGAAAATCACACTTTAAAAGGACGATGTTTTTGATTTTGGGTCAGCTCATGAGGCACCTGCTTACTGAGCTTCTTCGCTTTTACAATTTGCTTCAAATGCTGACTGACTAGAGAATGGTTGACATTGAGTTCTTTGGCAGCTTCTGGTATAATTGTAAGAGGATCAGCTTTGATGATTGCTCTCAATTGGTTGTTGTCAACTTCCAATGACCAGCCACTAGGCCCCTCATCTTCAAGCTTCTCTTCTTTGCAAAATGTCTTGAACTACCATTGCACTGTCCATTCGTTAGCAGTTCCTGGACCAAATTGGTTGTTGATGTGAGTTGGCGCCACTGCTTAACACAACCTATTTTGAACTTGAATAAGAAAATTGCTCAAATTTGCCTTTTGTCTAGGATCATTTGTATAAGATACATATAAAATAGGAAGCAGTAGGCAAAAATAATAGAGAAGTATGCATTAAAATGATGTATAACATAACCACATTTATTTAAGAATGTATCCAATATCAGAGGGGAGCCTTGGGGTACTGACCCCCCCCCCAACTCCTGCCACCTTTTTCAGCTGCCAAAGCGGCTGTCTTTGTGTGGTGCTCTCCAGAGACAGAGAGGCAGAGTGAGCAAGCACCCTCTGTGGGGAATGGTGATGCCACAATCCCTTTCCCCCTACTTCTCCCTCCTGTTTGGATTTTGTGTATGCACACACATGTACCTGGCTTATTTATCTCAAGTCAGTGGGTCTAGGACCTGAACTGTATAGTTTCTCTGTGGGATCTAGCCACCCTAACTGCCAGGCCCCTGGTTGGCCTGAGCATACTCTATGTACTGACAGAGATGTTTTCAGGGTACAGTGTTATGAAACTAAAACAAAGGGCAGTGTATATTGTTTATGCTACCAGTTGTATAAAAAAAAAGGCAGAATAAGAATTTATATTACATTTTCTTATATGTGCATAAGGAAATTCTAGAAGGATATTAAAGAGAGTAATATAGTTATCCCATGTATATACATGTATGTGTATGTTTGTGTTTAGACGAGAAGATGGTTAATTTTCATGGAAACTTCAAATCATTTGCATAGCTTGCTTTTTCAAGTAATTAAATAATTAAAGTATTTTTAAAAGTAGAGCTTCTTGGGGGCCAGCAGGTGGCGTGGTGGTTAAGACGCTGGACACTTGGACATGGCCGACCAGTGTTCAAGTCCTGAATCTGGTGGCTTGCTTTCTCATTTCCTCTCTCTCTCATTCTCACCCTCTCTCTCTGCTCAAACTAAAAAAAAAAAATAAATGAATAAAATAAATAATTATAGAAAAAAAAAAAAGTGGAGCTTCTTTTAAGTCAAGTCGTAGTTACCGAAGAGCTCCCTTTTAATTCTCTCCCTTACCCATTCTTATTCGTGTGGGTGACAGATTTCCGTATATATACATTTTTTTTTTGAGAGGTTTTCGCCATAGGGTGCGTGTGCTCGCCAGACAGACAGAGGGAGACATAGAGACAGAAAGCGAGAAATCACCCCCCAGGGGGTATGGTCACGCCGCAGTCCTTTCTCCTCCATTCTCCTCTCGGGTTCTTGGGCACACATGCACACGTGCCTGGCCTGAGTTCTAAGCCACCGGGTCCAGGACGCGAACCGCGGTCGACTACATGGGAGTCCAGCCACATAGCCATTACGCTAACTGCTGGTTCCCAGATTTCCGTATATTGTGCTAATGGTAGTACTGTTTGTCACTTTCTATGTGGGTACCCAAAAAAGACAGTGATACATGCATTTGTTGGTCCCATTGTTTTTCCTGTTGTTTCTCCGCCAGAATTAATGACTTTCTGTAGACTCGGATACTAGGCGTCTCCAAGTTCTGTGACACAGCCCAAAAAACAATGGCTTTCTTTTGTTTGAAAATTAGAACAATATCCTCTAGGCAGGACTGAGTCTTTTGCCTTTTTTCTTTGTTTATAGGAACCTACAAGCAGCAATTGGCGCCTATTATGACTTTGAGAGCCCAAACATAAGTGTGCCCTCTATGTCCTTTGTTGAAGATGTCACCATAGGAGAAGGGGAGTCAATACCTCCTGATACTCAGTTTATAAAAACGTGGCGGATCCAGAATTCTGGTAAGTGCACCCTGGGCAGTCTTCCCTTACCCAGTTACCCAGTGTTCTTTCCTTCTTACTTTTTTTTTTTTTTTTTAAATAATTATTTTATTTAACTTTATTTTTTAAAAATTTGACCAGAGAGGGATGTGGGGGGAGGGAGAGAAAGTGAGAAAGCAAGCCACCAGGGTGGAACTTGAACTGTGGTTGGCCGTGTAGGAGTCCAATATCCTTAACCACCACACCACCTGTTAGCTCCTCTTTTTCTTAATAATTAAAAGAAATGAGGAGGAAACATTTTTAGCTTAGGTATATGATTATGTAGCCCTGAATTTTATTTTCTGTGTGATAATTGCGTTTTCTTGTACTGCCATGATAACCATATATCGGTGACATATCCCTTACTCCAGTATAGGAAGAACAATTTAGGTTTCATGCTTCCAAGCTACCCATGACTTGGTGGCATCTGAACATAATTCAGTCTTCATTTGGAACTAGGAACTAGGCTTGTATACGGTGGGGTATTGTCTCCATCTGTACAGTTCTGCTCCATCATTTTATTTCTGCTCTAATTAATCTTCCAGTCTTTTCCAGCAGGCTAAAGGAGGTATATCCTTGAGTAGAACAAGGTAGTTGAAAGAGCTGTGAGCATCTGCTCTTTCAAAAGCTCATTTCTTTAGTCACAAGGATGATTCTGTCTGAAATTTCATTGGGCTATCTGAGACATTAGTCTCACCTTGAAAAATAGGATAAGAAGTATGGGAATTTGCTCACAGTGGGAAAGAGGGAAATTGTTAGTGGGGAGAAAATTCCCAAAGACATTGTTTTAATATACTGCTTCTTTTTTTTTTTTTTTTAAAGACAAATTGAAGTTAACCATAATTCTTTGAAAACTGTCTATGTATTTGGTAACTCTTAATTATTGCTTTTGTTAGTCTTTACTAATAACTTGTTATTTAAGTGGAGTTAGTACCTCCTGTCCCAGCAAATGACAGTTTATATTGACTGCTTAAAGTCTTCTTTCACTTCCTTGTTAATGGACTTTAAGGGAGATTTTGAGAGATGAAAAACTAGGCAAAAAGCTACATATGTATAGGAGTTGGGGTACTCCACCTAATAAGGTAATTTGATGAATGATGGTATAAAGCAGTGGGGACTTACATAAAACTATAAAATAGTAACCTTTTATTAACTCACTTTACATTTCAATTCTCTACAGTTTCTTTCTTTGTGATGGGAAAGACTGGTTAAACTAGCCTTTTATATATAATCTGTGTATCAAATTTAGTTATTAGTTTTTCTAACATTTGGAAGTACTTCCTCTTTGGAGGAAAACCCTCTGCATCCCTGACCAGACTCTCAGAATCTGAACTGACCCAGTGTTGTGGACAATCAGGATACCCGTAGCTTAGTAAAATTTTCATTAGCTCCTTTTCCCTTTGGTTATAACAGTGTATTGTTAGTTTGGAGTCACATGATAACACAAGGAAAATAGCCATGTTTTCTATTTTTCTTGAAATTACTACTTGTTGAAAGTATGATATTCTTTATTTGTCTAATTTCTTTTTCTCTTAATTTTACCTCCCCCCCCCTTTTTTTTTTCAGTTTTGCTTCCACCTTTATTTTTTTCAGTTTTCCTATAGGGTGTGTATATTCACTGGAGGGAGAGAGAGGAAAAAGAGAAATTATTCCCCGGGGGGATGATCACTCTGCGGTTCCTTCTCCCGTACTCTCCTTTGGGGATTTTGGACATGCACACACACAAGCCCAGCATGTTTCTTAAACTACTAGGTCCTGGATTCAAACCATGCAGTTGACCATGTGAGATCCAGCATGGTCATGCTCCCTGTGGGGGTGTGGTGAGAGGGGTGATTTTTCGTTCTGTTTCTCTGGCAAGTGTGTGGGTCCTATGGAAAAAAAAAAGCTTTAGAGGTTCATCCAGCAGTATAGTGGTTGGTCAACCGCATTTCAAGTCTTGGACTCGACTGCTTAAAAAACACCCAGGCGTGTGTATACATGCCCCCAAAATCCTGAGGAGATTGAAGGGATTGAGGGCTGGCCCATCCACTCTAGGGGGTGATTTCTCACTCACTCTCTCTCCCCCTGGTGAGCACATATAACCTATAGCAAACTTATAAAAAAAAAAAAAGAAAAAGTTTTTGAAATCTGCACATGAAATTTTTTTTCTTATGAATTACATTTGTTTGAAAGTATTCCTACTTCAAAAGTTTTAAAGTTAAGCCAGTACCTTGTTTTCTGATACTGAAAATGGTCTTTCTGTGAGTTTGTTTTTATTTTTTTAAAGACTTATTTTATCTAACTTTATTTAAATTTGAGTAGAGAGGAACAGAGAGAGAGAGAAAGAAAGTGAGAAAGCAAGCCACCAGGTCTGGGACTTGAACCATAGTTGGTCATGTGGGAGTCTAGCACCCCGAACTGCTATGCCACGTCCTGGTCCCTGTTTGTTTGTAAATGTTGAAGGTTAAGAATGTTTCCAAGGCCGACTGCATCGTCTCCAAGAACTTCTGAGGGCGAGGACCCTCAGGCCGGGCTGAGACTTGTCCTAAATAAACAGTAAAAACTTTAAAAAAAAAAAAAAGAATGTTAAAATGTCCTCAGTAGTTACCTTGTTGCAGAATAACCCTTTTTTTCTATTTTAGAAAGCCTGTTTATATATTTACTCACTCATTAGACAGTTCCTTGGGTTTATTATGAGTTTAGGGGAGGTTGATATTTAATCACTAGAATGTGAGATCAGAACCCCAAAGAACCTGCTTTTCAACCTGACTTAGAAAAACCTGTATTTATAGGCCTGCCTTTTCCTCCTGCCTTTGCTTCGTAACTTCGGCTTAAAACGGCTTCTAAGACTATAGTCTGTAAAAGAGTGTTAGCCTGAACACCTCTGTAAAAACTTACACAAGCCCAGCATGTTTCTTAAACTACTAGGTCCTGGATTCAAACCATGCAGTTGACCATGTGAGATCCAGCATGGTCATGCTCCCTGTGGGGGTGTGGTGAGAGGGGTGATTTTTCGTTCTGTTTCTCTGGCAAGTGTGTGGGTCCTATGGAAAAAAAAAAGCTTTAGAGGTTCATCCAGCAGTATAGTGGTTGGTCAACCGCATTTCAAGTCTTGGACTCGACTGCTTAAAAAACACCCAGGCGTGTGTATACATGCCCCCAAAATCCTGAGGAGATTGAAGGGATTGAGGGCTGGCCCATCCACTCTAGGGGGTGATTTCTCACTCACTCTCTCTCCCCCTGGTGAGCACATATAACCTATAGCAAACTTATAAAAAAAAAAAAAGAAAAAGTTTTTGAAATCTGCACATGAAATTTTTTTTCTTATGAATTACATTTGTTTGAAAGTATTCCTACTTCAAAAGTTTTAAAGTTAAGCCAGTACCTTGTTTTCTGATACTGAAAATGGTCTTTCTGTGAGTTTGTTTTTATTTTTTTAAAGACTTATTTTATCTAACTTTATTTAAATTTGAGTAGAGAGGAACAGAGAGAGAGAGAAAGAAAGTGAGAAAGCAAGCCACCAGGTCTGGGACTTGAACCATAGTTGGTCATGTGGGAGTCTAGCACCCCGAACTGCTATGCCACGTCCTGGTCCCTGTTTGTTTGTAAATGTTGAAGGTTAAGAATGTTTCCAAGGCCGACTGCATCGTCTCCAAGAACTTCTGAGGGCGAGGACCCTCAGGCCGGGCTGAGACTTGTCCTAAATAAACAGTAAAAACTTTAAAAAAAAAAAAAAGAATGTTAAAATGTCCTCAGTAGTTACCTTGTTGCAGAATAACCCTTTTTTTCTATTTTAGAAAGCCTGTTTATATATTTACTCACTCATTAGACAGTTCCTTGGGTTTATTATGAGTTTAGGGGAGGTTGATATTTAATCACTAGAATGTGAGATCAGAACCCCAAAGAACCTGCTTTTCAACCTGACTTAGAAAAACCTGTATTTATAGGCCTGCCTTTTCCTCCTGCCTTTGCTTCGTAACTTCGGCTTAAAACGGCTTCTAAGACTATAGTCTGTAAAAGAGTGTTAGCCTGAACACCTCTGTAAAAACTTTAGCAGGGGACCAGCAGATGATATAACGGTTACTTAATTTGACTCCATCAGGTAGTCAACCGTGGTTCGAGACCTGGACTGGGCAGCTTAAAACTCAGGCTGGGCACGTGTGCATGCATGCCCAAACTCCCAAGAGAAGAAGGGATTGTGCTGTGGCCATTGCCCGTGGGAGACGATGTCTTGCTTTCTGTCTCTTGTCTCTGGCAAATGCATGCATCCTATAGCAAAAATCTTTCTAAAAAAATAAATAAAAACTTGAGCAGTAGTTCCTAGAGACTTTATCTGTCAAGGGGCTGTGCATAAAGAGATTTGTTATTCTGGAAATTGTTCATCCAGTTGTAAAGTAGTTTTATCTCTATAAGCAGAATTATTTCCATTTGGTGAAGGAGAAACTGGCCTCCTATAACTGGGTAGCAGGAGCGAGAGGGAGAGAGAGCATGCACGTGCACTGGCTCTTTGGTGTCATCCTAATCTGGCCTGAGTCCTTTCTGGAAATAGAGTCGTAATACAGAAGTAGGACAGGCCTCAGCTGTTTCTCCTCTGGCTCTTTTACTCTCATTCATAACGTTTCCTAAGAGACAAGTGCTCACTGAAGGAGCTCCTCTCTGCTGTTGTGTTCTAGGTGTGCTGGTCACTGGGATATACAGCAGATGAGATTGGTGAGAACTGCCAGAAGTGAGACATTTGGTAACATAGATGCAACATCGCAGAACCCAAATTTTTCCTTTTTAGGGTTTTTTTTGTTTGTTTGTTTGTTTTTTTTTTTTTGCTATAGGGTGTGTGTGCTTGCCAGAGGGTGAGAAAACACCTTCAGGGAGGATGGCCATGCCACAGTCCCTTTTCTTCCAGTCTTTTATCAGGATTTTTGGTATGCACATATACATGTGCAGAGTGATTTTTAAACCACTGAGTCTGGTACTCGAAATGCACAATTGGCCAAGTGGAATCCAGT